CTTGGGGGAGTCTTGGGGGCTTCTTGGCGCTTCCTGGGAGCCTCTTAGGCCGAGGGCTCGAAATGTCCGTTCCGGTCCCCCGTCTAGGCACTCTCTTGGAGCAGTCTTGGGGGCCTCTTGGGCCGTCTTGGAGGCCTCTTGGGCCGGTTGGGGGCCCTCTTGGGTCGTTTTGGGGCCTTCTCGGAGGCATCTTGGGCTATCTTGCGGCGATTTTAAGGGCCTCTTGGGCCGTCTTGGAGTGTCGGGAAGCCGAAATGCGAAAATCCCAAAATTGATCAAAAACCTTAGGAAAATCAATCATTTGTGCCTCTTGGGGCTCTCTTGGGAGTGCTTTTGGAGGCCTCTTGGGGCGTCCTGGGAACCTCGTAGGCCGTCTGGAGGCTACTTCGGCGTCTTGGACCGATAGTTCGGCGATTCGGGGCCCTCTTGGACCGTGTTGGGGGCCTCTTGGGGCAGTCGTGGTTCGTGTGGCGGGTTTGGGGGGGGAGGCATTCTGACCCGGGATCCCCACCAGGACCCCTCCCCCGGATTCTCCCCGGGACCCTCCCCCCTGGCTCTCCCCCCCCGTGTCCCTGCCCGCCCGCGGGGAACAGATCAAAGGAAGGGGCTTCTTTTCGAATGAATTGCAACGCTCGTTTTTGTTATTGTCGTTTTGTCGAGCACGCTTGACATGAAAGGCCCATGGTAAGAGAGGCAACGGCTGGCGCGTTGGAGAAGGAGACCCAGGAGAAAGCCTGGAGTAGCGACGACGACGACGATAACGACAACGACGACGAGGAGACGACGAGTGAAACAGCGACAAAGGAAAGAGCCCCTTCCACACGCCGACAGGGTCGGTGGATTTGTTGTATGTATATCTATATATATATATATATATATATATATATGTATATATACATATATGGAGACACCCCCCCAGCACTCCGTCCTCATAGTTTTTTCTTGTATTCTTCATACATATATCTCCCTGTATGTCTGTATCCAAGAGTTACAATTTGAATCTTGTACGAGTTCAATAGTACAGAGCAGTTTCCAGACCCAGGAGATTTCAATTATATTTGAATGAGAATCAAATGAAGATTCAAGCGGACTGGAGCAGATCCCAGTTCCAGAGGATTGTGATTTGAATTGAATATGAACCAAACAAGAATTCAATCAGACTGGAGCAGACTCCAGATCCTGAGGATTTCAATTGGATTCGATTAGATTCCAAATAGGACTTTCAAAGAAATTGCCCAAACCCCAGATCCAATGGATTTCATTTGGATTTCAATAAGAATCAAATAAGGATTCAATCGGACTGGAGCAGATCCCAGATCCAGAGGATTCTAATTGGAATTGAATAGGAATCAAACAAGAATTCAATCGGACTGGAGCAGACTCCAGATCCAAAGGGTTTCAATTGGATTCGATTAAATTTCAAATAGGAATTGCAAAGAAATGGCCCAGACCCCAGTTCCGATAGATTTCAATTGGGTTTCAATAAGAATCAAGTTAGGATTCAATCGGACTGGAGCAGATCTCAGTTCCAAAGGATTTTGATTATAATTGAATAGGAACCAAACAAAAATTCAATCGGACTGTTGCAGGCTCCAGATCCAGAGGATTTCAATCGGATTCAATTAGATTCCAAATAGGAGTTTCAAACAGACATGGCGCAGACCCGAGTTACGATGGATTTCAATTGAATTTCAATAAAAATCAAATAAGGATTCAATCGGACTGAAGCAGATCCCAGATCCAGAAGGTTTTGATGCGACCTCCTCTTCCAAACAGAAGACTGTGCCGCATGCGTCTTGGGAAGGTCCAAAAGACTTTGATTCAGACTGTTTGCGAGGAGGAGGAAGAGGTGGGTTTCACTTGGATTTGATTCAAAAAAGAATTTCAATGAGATTGACCAGTTCCCAGGTCCAATCGATTCCAATTTGGTTCAGGAGGTCAAGAGTGCAGCTTTCCTTTATGAAAACACAATGTGTTTGCATCCAAAACCAATTTTCCCTGTGAAAACACACGGTTTTTGCTTCCAAAACCTACTTTCCATGTAAAAACATAATGTTTTGGTATTCAAAACCAATTTTACATATGAAAACACAATGTTTTTGCATCCAGAATCAATTTTCCTTGTAAAAAACGCAATGTTTTTGCATTCAAAACCATTTTTTCCATGTGCAAACAAAATGTTTTTGCATCCAAAACCAACCTTGCCTGTGAAAACACAACGTTTCTGAGCTCGGATATCACGAAACCTTGGCAGGTTTTGTTTTTTTGTATTTTTTTGTTTATGATGTCACGAAACCCTGGCAGGTTGTATCTTTTTTGTTTTTTTTTTTGTTTTTTTTTTTGCCCCACGAAAATTCGGGGCCGCCGTCAGCTCAGTCTGACTGGCCAAATTCCGCTTGGCAGAGAGAAAAAAAAAAAAAAAAAAAAAAAAAAAAAAAAAAAAAAAAACTGCCAGGGCTTCGTAACTTTAATTGTATATATATGTATATATATATATATATATATATATATATATATTATATATATATATATATATATATATATATACATATATATATATATAATATATATATATATATATATATATATATACAACAAAAAAAAAAAAAAAAAAAAAAAAAAAAAAAAAAAAAAAAAAAAAAAAAAAAAAAAAAAAAAAAAAAAAAAAAAAAAAAAAAAAAAAAACTTCCCAGGGTTTCGTGATATCCGAGCTCCTCAACATTGTGTTTTCACAGGCAAAGTTGGTTTTTTTGATATAAAATAACATTGTGCTTTCAAATGGAAAAATGGTTTCGAATGCAAAAACATTGTATTTTAAAAAGAAACTTGGTTCTGGATGCGAAAACATTGTGCTTTCACATGTAAAATTGTTTTTAAGTTCAAAAAACATGATGTTTTCACAAAGAAACTCGGTTTTTGATTAGAAAAAAATATATGTTTTTTCACATGGAAAATTTGTTTCGGATGCAAAAACATTGTGTTTTCACAAGGAAAATTGGTTTGGGATGCCAAAACATTGTGTTTTCATATGGAAGATTGGTTTGGGATGCAAAGAAAAACCATGCTTTCATAAGGAAAATTGGTTTGGAATACAAAAACCTTGTGTTTTCACATGGAAATTTGATCTTGGAAACAAAAACAGTGTGTGCTCACAAGGAAAATTGGTTTTGTATGCCAAATCATTGTGTTTTCAGATGGACTAATAATCTTATTGTAACCTGTACCATAGGAACTTGTTGAACTCCATGTTGGATCTCTGTGACAGAAAGTACAGGTTGTGAGCTCCTTTTTGATCCGCGAACAAAAATGATGTCGAACTCGCGAACTCCATTCCTGAGTGTTGCCGCTGGTGCCTACATTCGCTTAAGCTGTCTTCTAGCTCAGCATAAATTGCTATGGGAAAAGCGGAACGAAAGATGCATAAGAGCAATAAGAATAAGAACGCCGAAAACATTGTGACGTATGCGATGACGAAGGGCGCGAAGAGCATGAAGCTCGTCCTCCACCTCCGTCTCTTGCTTCCCTCCTTCATCGTTCCTTTCATTGCCTTTTTTCCTTTGGTCATCCGTCCTTCAAGTACGGATGCGCAACATTCTTCCTCCTCCTACACATTCTCTCATCCTTTCTCATGTCCTCATCCTTTATATTTTCCGTTCGCCCTTCTCGTTGTTCCCTTCCTCCTCGCCCCACGTTCGGAGCGGATGGGAGAAAGAAGAGGCGAAGCATCAATGAGAAAGAGAACGATAGGGGGAGAATGGGGGAAGGAAAGATATGCATAATCATTTGATATTGCATACGATGGAAGGATGCGGAGAAAAGTAACATTGGAGAGGGGGAGGAGGAAGAGCGAGGAGGGAGTCGTCGTCGTCGTCGTCGTCACCGTCACCGTCACCGTCGTCGTCGTCGTCGTCGTCATCGTCGTGGTCATCATCATCATCACCATTATCATCATCATCACAATCACCGTCACCATCATCATCATAATCATCATAATCATTGTTATCATCATCATCATCATCATCATCACCGTCATCACCGTCATCACCATCATCACCGTGATCACTACCATGATCATCATCGGTATCATCATCATCAGCAGCAGCATCATCATCATCGTCGTCATCATCATTATCATAATCGTACTCGTACTCGTAATCGTACTCAGTATTACACTCATCATAGATTATTGAGAGGGGGTATCTTAGGAGGAGGAGTAGGAGGATAAGCCTGGAAAGGATGAGCGTGATGAGGGAGGATGTTCAATGCGAGAGTAAGGAAAGAAGCAATCACGGCCATTCAACACGGAGTGCTGGAGGGGGGTGTGGGTTTATATATATATATATATATATATATATATATATATCCGACCTGTTTGAGACCCTCGAGACACCCCTGGGGTGGCCTTGCGAAATAAATGTATATATCTATGTATGATATATATATATATATATACAAGACTGCATTGGCGTTGCGCGCCATGCACTTTGGTCCTTTAGAGTTTCGCACGTCAGCGGAATGCGTGTGCGCGTACATGCGCACACACATCCGCTTATGGAAACATACTACATATGTGCATAGAAATATATGTATGTATGGGTATGTACATGTATATGCAAATGGTATGTGTAATTATGCGTGCGCATACACATGCGCATATTAGGCGGTAGTGGCCTGACCAGCTGCTCCGGGCATCTCGCAACTCAATGGTGCGAGGGTCTCAGGCGAAAGTGGCCAGACTACCATGGTCCTTCAAGTTGAGCAAGCAGGCGGGACGACAGATATGTACATAGTTAAAGAAAGCAATAACGCCATGTTGCCGTTTTCGTGGTTGACGATCTGACAATGTCTTCCATTCCCTATCCTTTCCTTCCCTCATCCTTCATTTCCCGCTCCTTCGCCGCCAACCCAAGCCGAGCCGAGTTGAACCGGCGGGCCGGTCGAGACAGGGGCAACGAAAACGACAACAACGACGACGACGACAACGCCCACGATCACAACGACGATGACGATGAAAACGACGATGACTACGACGTCGGCTACGACGCTGACGACGACGACGACGAAAGCGACGACAACGACGACGACGACGACGACGGCGACGACGACGACGACGACGACGAAGGCGACGACATACGAAAGGGAGAATGAGAGGGGGAGACCGCTGCCATCGCGAGCGCCGCCGCAATCGCGTTGCCAGGCTCTTGGGAGTCTTCTTGGGGCCCTTTTGGATCCCTTTCAGGGCCCTGTTGGGGTTCTCTTGGGTCGTATCGGGGCCCTTTCGGGCCGTCTTGGGGCGTCTTGGAGGCCTTCGGCCGTCGTGGGGTTCTCCTGGCGGCGTTTTGGGGCCCTCTTGGGTGCCTCTTTGGGCGCTCTTGGGGCTCTCTTGGGCCCGTCTTGGAGCCCTCTTGGGCTGTCTTGGGACTCCTTGGATCGTTGTCGGGCTCTTTGGGGTGCCTCTTGGGCGACGTCGGGGCGAGTTTTGGAGCCTTTTGGGCCGGTTCGGGCCGATGTTGGCCCGGAAAAGGGAGAGCCAGGAAAACTTCCGAAAACCATACAAAAATTAATGAAATGTCCCTCTCGGGGCCCTCTTGGGGAGCCTCCTGGAGGCCTCTTGGGGCGTCTCGGGCCCCCCTTGGACGGTCCCGGGCGGTCTTGGGGTTTCTTGGAGCGCTCTTGGGCTGTCTTGGAGCGCTCGTGGACCCCTCTTGGGAGTATCTCGGGCCGCCTGGGGCGCCTCTGGGGCCGCCCGAAAATCTCGGAGAAGCCCGAAATTCGTTTGGGGGGGGGGCTCCGTCCGGGGTCGGTCCAGGGTCCGTAGCCTTATAAAAGTATATAAATAGGAATAGTTGTTAAATACATACATATAGGGGTGTGCGTATATCTTTATTATTGTTCTCTCTCTCTCTCTTTCTCTCTCTCTCTCTCTCTCTCTCTTTCCCTCTCTCCTTCTCTCTCTTTCTCTCTCTCTCTCTTTCTCTCTATTTCTCTCTCTCTCTCTCTCTCTCTTTCTCTCTCTCTTTCTCTCTCTCTCTCTCTCATTATCTCTCCTCTTTCTTGTTCTCTCTCTCTCTCTTTGTTTCTCTCTCTCTCTCTCTCTATCTATCTTTTTCTCTCTCTCTCTCTCTCTCTCCCTTTCCGGGGCGCAATGGCACGCCCGAGAGAACTGCAGCCGTGGCCCGAGACATTCCTCACGATTCGTTATCCCTCGCGTGGCTGCTGCAAAAAGTTTTCCTCTCAAGATGCGTCTTCCTTCGTCCTCCTTCATGATTCGTCCTCTTCATGATTCGTCCTCCTTCGTCGTTCGTCCTCATTCGTCCTCCTTGGCGTGCAGTGTTCTGGCTTCCGGGGCCCTGACCTCGCTATTTTGTTTCTCTCTCTCTCTCTCTCTCTTTCTCTCTCTGTCTCTCTCTCTCTCTCTCTTTCTTTTTTTCTCTCTCTCTCTCTCTCTCTCTTTCTCTCTCTCTCTCTCTCTCTCTCTCTCTCTTTATCATGTTTGCTCTCTCTCTCTCTCTATTTGTTATATTGTTTTCTCTATCTCTCTCGCCTCATTGCTTTCCTCTCTCTTTGGCATCGTTCGGACGTGGGCACTTTTCTCGGTGAGGACCATCGAACAGCACTTAGGATCATCCTGCGGAGGAAAAAGAACGCACGAAACCGCAATTGCACGGGGAATGGACGTCCGGTCGATGACAAGTCTCTAGCAACCCCGGTTCGTGCGGCCACGCCCCGCTGCCCAAAGGCGATCAACCTGATGACAAGTTGGTACTCGCTCATCAAACAGGTGTGCGGGTGGAGGAGGAGGGGGAGAAGCAACAGCGCAAGGTACAGGAGAAGACAGAGGGAGCAGCGGAGGATGACCAGGAGGAGCAGGGAGCAGGAGGAGGAGGAGGAGGAGAATGAGGCGTAAAAGGGCGGGAGAGTGCTGGCGCAGCCAGAGGTCGAGGCGAGGAGAAGAAGGGGAAGGAGGGGGAGGAGGAGAAGTGATCCTCTCCTGGCTCTACTGTGGCCCCTTCAGAACCCCTGGAACATCGCTGGGCGCAGGGGGCCCGCCTCGCCAGCGCAAACACGTGTGAAACCACGACCACTGACGATTGGAACTGCGCACGCGAAAGGGGCCAGTGATCCGCAATTGGGCTGAGGAGAAAGAGGAGGAGGAGGAGGAGGAGGAGGAGGAGGAGGAGGAGGAGGAGGAGGAGGAGGAGGAGGAGGAGGAGGAAGGGGCCAGGTCGAGCGAGCCAGGAGGCGTGCCCCGCGTGCTCCCACCCTCCCGCCCCCCCCCCCCACCACACACACACAAACAAACACAACATCAGCATCTGCTGCGGCACGTTTGAACAGATCGGGACTGGAACGCGCTCCCACTTTCAAACGGAAGGCGCTCGCGCGCGGACCCGCTCCCGACGACGTCGGCGAAGGGATCGCTACGCGGGCCGCGCAGGGGCGAAGGGCGGCAGCGCTCCCGACGGGCGCCGCGAAGACGAAGCGTGCGCCGCGCTGGCGCAAGACCGCCACGTTCACTCACAAGCGGCGCGGCGCTTGGGCGAGGTCGACGTTCGCGCCCGCTCCCTCGCGCGCCCCGCTGCAGCCGTCGCTCGCGCGCGCCTCGGCGAACGAGCCAGGCGCCGCGCCCGCGCCGGAACCGCCACATCCGAGCGACATGCGCCCCCGGAGCTTGGGCGAGGGCGACAGAGCTCCCACCCGCGACGGCCCCCCGAATGTCGGCGGGTGATGAATATGCGCCCCGTCGAGGCGGGAGCGCCGCCTCATGCGAAATCTGCGCGGCGCCGAGGCGAGAGCGACATTGTCGCCCGTTTCCGCGCGCCGACGGAGGCACTCGCGACAAGTGCGCACCGCGCCCCAGCAGGAACTTAGCTGTTGCTTGAGAAGTGGGCACGGCGCCGAGGCGATAGCTACATGTGCACACAGCCAGGGACCAGGCCTTTGGGACCACCGTGGCAGCCACGTCCCTCTGCGCAGTCTGGGAAGCCCTCGGAGCCTTCCGACGCGTCGCACGTCGATCTCGCACGGGTCCGCGACCAACCCCGCCGAACCCGAAGCGATCCCCCCAGAGGGCCCAGCACCTCCACGCGCCAAGGGTGGCATTCGCCTTGGGAGCCTTTCCTCGGGTATCTTGGGGCTCGTGGATCATCGCAGAGTCTACTGACAACGACTGCGCGGTCAATTCGAACCAGTTTATACATGTGCGAATGGCACAACAGAGTCTGCACCACAGAAATTGCACCACATAGATTGCCCCACATAGATTATACAACGAACATGGTACCACATATATTGCACCGCGTAGATTGCACGACGTACCTTGATAGAAGCACATTGGTTGGGGCCCACGGTGGCTAAATGATCCTCCTCATCCGGATGTGAAAACCAAGGAGGGAGGAGGAGTAGGAGGAGGAGGAGGAGGAGGAGGAGGGAGGAGGAGGGAGGAGGAGAAGGAGGACGGGCGAAAGAGAGAAAGGAGCGAAGATCGGGGTAGGTTCCGGGGTCGTTGGAGGAGAGAGGGAAGAATGAAGGGAGGGAGGGAAGGAGAAGGAGGAGGAGGAACAAGGTTAGGATGATGAGGGACAACGAAGATGAGGAAGGACGAGGAGGAGGAGGAGGAGAAGGAGGAGGAGGAGGGACGAGGAGGATGGAGAGGAAGAGGGACGAAGATGAGGACCTTCGTCCTTCCTCCTCCTCCCCTCCCCTCACTCCTCTTCACCCTGTCCTCCCCCCCCTCGGGAGCAGGCTCTGCCCGAGATCCCGAGGCGGATCCAGCCGTGACGACGAAGGCGCCCCCCTCGAGGCCCCGAAGAGCTGGAAGAAGCGACGGCGGCGACGGCGACGGCCACGGCGACGAGGGGGGGGTAGGGCGAGGAAGAGGAGGAGGAGGAGGAGGAGGAGGAGGAGGAGGAAGGAGGAAGGAGGAAGGAGGGAGGAGGGAGGAGGAGGAGGGAGGAGGGAGGAGGGGGAGGAGGGAGGAGGAGGAGGAGGAGGAGGAGGAGGAGGAGGAGGAGGAGGAGGAGGAGGAGGAGGAAGGAGGAGGAGGAGGAGGAGGAGGGAGGAGGAGGAGGAGGAGGAGGAGGAGAGGAGGAGGAGGAGGGAGGAGGAGGAGGCGAATCAGGAGGAGGAGGAGGGGGAGGGGGAGGAGGAGGAGGGGGAGGACCCTCCCCCAGGTGGTGCAGACGTCGCCGGCCGGCGGCGAGAACGCGGGCGGGCAGCAGCCCCCCGCGAGGCCGACGGGCTTCGAGTCGCCGTCGAAGCGGCGGCCATCGGGTGCCTCCCCCCCCCCCCCTTGGGGGCGTTGCGATGACAGCGGCGGCGAGCGAGCGGGGGGAAGTGAGAAGGGCGTGCCCCCCTGCGAGCGGGGACGTGGCCTCGCCAAGTGGGAGCTTTCGAGTACGGTTCGAGGTTTTCTGACGTTTTCGGCGGTTCTCGGCGGTTTTCCGGCCTCGGGATGCTCGCCAGCAGCTGCGCATCGCCAGGGGCGTTCCGGGGGTGCCCGGATCGTCCCGAACGGCCGCCAGAGACCCGAGTTGTGACCCAAAACCAAGTTCGGCGGCGAGCGAGGGGGGGAAGGAGGAGGAGGAGGAGGAGGAGGAGGAGGAGGAGGAGGAGGAGCGAGGGGGGGAGTGTGAGAAGGAGAAGGCCCTCTCAGAAGGCGGCGGGGCTTCTCAGGAGCCCTCGCGCCTGCTGAGAAGTGCTCCGCGTCTTCGGAGGGGGCCAAGGGAACTTCTCAGAAGGCCGGGGGACTTCCGAGCCTTCCTGAGAAGGCCTTCTCCTGCTCACTTCAACCGCGGGCTCGCCGCCGAATGACAGCGGCGGCGAACGCGACAACGCTGAAAAGGGCGACGACGTGGCTACGGCGGCGGCGGTGGCGATGTCGATGGCCGTCGCCGTCGTCGTCGTCGTCTTCGCGTCACCGTCGTCACCACCGTCGTCGTCGTCGTCGTCGTCACCGTCGTCGCAATCGTCGTCGTCGTCATCGTCGTGATGGTGGTCGTCGCCGTCGTCGTCACCGTCGTTGAGGTTCGAGGAACGAGCCGCGTGGATCGAGTTTGTTGGCGGTCTCGAGGCGTCGATTGATGAGGTTCGAGGGTCGAAGGATCGAGGTTCGAGGGTCGAGGGTCGAGCTTCCAGGGTCGAAGGTCGAGTTTTAGAGGTTCGAGGGTCGAGGTTCGATGGTCGAGATTCGAGGCTCGAGGCTCGAGGCTCGAGGAGCGAGGTGCGTGGATCGAGTTCTTGGCGGCTCCGAGGGTCGAGGATGAGCTTTTTGGCTCGAGGGTCGCGGGTCCAGGGTCGAAGGCCGAGTTCCTGGGGCTCCGAGTGAACAGGCGCAGCCGTTGACCGGCGTCTCTTGGGCGGCCTCTGGGGAGGTTGGCCCAGCTGGCCTCCCTCCTTTCTGCTCCCTCCTCCTCCCTCCTGTCTCTCCCGCCCGCGGGGTTTTGAGGAGGAGGAGAGGGAGGAGGGAGGGTTTCGCGAGGTTGCTGGAGCGTTCACTCGCCAATTTCACCGCTCCCCTCCCCAACTGATACCTCGGGCTGCTGGGCCATTCGGAAGAGCACAGCCGCAGAAGCACGCTGCGGAACGCGAGGGGGGCAGAGTGGGTCACCTGGGTTTGTCGTGTGCTGCGCTGCGGTGGAAGTGGGTGCACGGGGAAGCCTTGCGCGCCAGAGTTAGGGGAACAAAAAGTGGCACAAACATAAGAACTCGGAGGTCCGCGCGGATTTCTCGGATCGGCGCTGGACCCCCCTCCTTGGCGCGCGGAGCGCGCCAGGGGCGGCGCGGGAGGCGCCGCCAGGGGACCCCAGCGCCGATCCGATAAATCCGCGCGGACCTCCGAGTTTCGGGTCGGGCGAAAGGGGGGGTTGGGAAAGGGGGGGTTACGAAATTTGCTGCATGCAGCTGGTTTCGGCCCCACCGAGGGGCCCATTCCTCGATACATAGCCGCCTCCGGCGCCGGGAGGCGCCGGGAAAATCAGCTACGTGAGCTGATTCTCAAACCCCCCCTTTGCTATCCCCCCCTTTCGCCCGACCCGAGAGTTTTTATGTTTATCCCACTTTTCGTTCCCCTAAGACTGTGAACAGAGCGGCACTCGGAACTGCACCGCCAGCGCCCCTCGCTCGTGCGAGCGGCAGGGCACTCGGCACCGCCTTGGACGTGTGCACGTCCTCCTCCTCCTCCTCCTCCTCCCCTTCCTCCTCCTCCTCCTCCTCCTCCTCCTCCTCCTCCCTTCCTCCTCCTCCTCCCTCCCCTCCACAATTACTCAATATGAATATACTCTCCCTCTTCCCCTGATGGCGTCCCGGGTGATGGCCGCGCACCCTCCGCGTACTGTTTTTTTACACACAGGATGCCCGGGAAATCCCGGGAAACGACTCTCGCTGAGGCGCCGGCGTCATTTTTTCCCAAAATGCTGCTCTCGTTGAGGCGCCGGCCGGCCTCATTTCTGCTCCCGAATCGTTCCGAATCGTGCTCCCGCTGCAGCGTGGGCCTCATTTTCGGATCGGTGTTTGGCCTCCGTCGTTCAGGATGGCGTTCTCGCCCCAGCGCGGGCCTTTTTCTCGCGCGCCCATCCGCCCGCCACCACCGCGCCGCACCGCCACCACCACCACCACCACCACCACCACCACCACCACCACCACCACCACCACCACCACCACCACCACCACCACCACCACCACGCACAACCACGCACACACGCACGCACGCACGCACGTGCACCACCACCCACTACGCACGCGCGCGCGGAGCCACAGGTCCGCTACGACACGCGTCCGCGGATAGAGAAAATCAGCGCCATGGTAAGGGATGGGAGGGAGGGGTAGGACGTCAGATATGACGCGAGCGCACCTAGCTTGTCCCCCTCCCCCTCCCCCTCCCCCCTCCCCCCTCCCCCTCCCCCTCCTCCTCCTCCCCCCCCTCCCCTTCCCCCTCCCCTCCCCCTCCCCCTCCCCCCTCCTCCTCCTCCCCCTCCTCCTCCTCCTCCTCCCCTCCTCTCCTCCTCCTCCTCCTCCTCCTCCTCCTCCTCCTCCTCCTCCTCCTCCTCATCCTCCTCCTCCTCCTCCTCCTCCTCCTCCTCCTCCTCCTCCTCCTCCTCTCCTCCCTCCTCGGCGAGGACCACGGAGGCGCACGTCGGGCCTTCTCTCTCGCGAAGAGGCCCACGCACGAGAGCAAGAACAAACATGCACGGGGTGGGGGGCGCCCGAGCGGTGGCGAGGGCAGCAGCACAGCGGGGGCCCACGCCAAGAAACGCACCCGAGGGGGAGGAGGAGGAGGAGGAGGAGGAGGAGGAGGAGGAGGAGGAGGAGGAGGAGGAGGAGGAGGAGGAGGAGGAGGAGGAGGAGGAGGAGGGGGGGGAGGGGGAGGAGGAGGAGGGGGAGGAGGGCGGGAAGAAGGAGGAGGAAGAGGAGGAGCAGGAGGAGGCGGAGGAATTGTTGAGGTTTCCGTTTTTGCGTTGCTTCGCGACCGTCGGAGGACCAAACGGTGTTTTTCCACAGCTCGAACCTGCACCAGTCGTACAGGGATGCCTAGATACAAGCCAGGGTGCCCTGGGTCTCTCTTGGGCTTCGCTGGCTCCGCCATGGAGGGCGTGACGCTCCCGCTCCAGAAACCGATGGACAGGAGGAGGCGGAGGAATTGTTGAGGTTTCCGTTTTTGCGTTGCTTCGCGACCGTCGGAGGACCAAACGGTGTTTTTCCACAGCTCGAACCTGCACCAGTCGTACAGGGATGCCTAGATACAAGCCAGGGTGCCCTGGGTCTCTCTTGGGCTTCGCTGGCTCCGCCATGGAGGGCGTGACGCTCCCGCTCCAGAAACCGATGGACGTCCTGGGGTCTCGGGGTCGGGTCTCCTGGTGGAAGGCTTCTTATGGTCGAGCCCCTACTGTAGTCGACGCGCTCTCTGGCACCGCCCCCCCCACAAACAACCGACAGGGCATCGAGGCGTTGTGCCCGCTCGGTGCTGCTGGCCAGACCGGGGGGAGGGGAGGCGCGGCGGGAGGCGCGGCGGCCGGAGCAGAGTAGGGAGGAGCAGGAGGAGGGAGGAGGAAGAGGGGGGGGGAGGAGGAGGGAGGAGGAAAGAGAAGGAGGAGGAGGAGGACGAGGAGGAAGACGAGGAAGAGGAGGAGCAGGAGGAGGGAGGAGGAGGGAGGCGGACCTGGCGGAGCAGCTTCCTGATACCCGCTCGCGCTCACGGAAGGTCCATGCTCCCCCTCCCTTTCCGAGCCCCCCCTCCTTTTCTCTCCCCTCCCCGCCCCCCTCTCCCTTCCCTGAGTTCCGCCTCCGCTTCCAGGATCGCGAGCCCACCCCGCCGAAGGCGTGTCCAGTTGGGGTTGTCCAGGAGTCGTCCCCGCGGCCGTGGCACGCGGGGTGGCGCCCGAACAGCTTTGATGATGAAGTTGTTATACCGAGGCATCAAGTGTTAAGGCGGGCGTGTCCCTCTACAGGAGGGAAATGCAAAAATAGTGAAAAAATAGTTTGTGGACGACTTTTTATTATTTTTCACCATTGGGGGATATGTTTTGACTATTTTCTATTTGTCGTCCAGAATCCGCCTGTGGGGGGACACGCCCGACCTAAATCAAGTGTCTGAAGACGCGCGAGGGTGAGAGTGCAACGGCGCAGTGCTTCTCGTTCAGACCGGTGTCCAATGATGGTGAACGTGGGAGGTACCTTCGCGTCCTTGACCCATTGGCCCACCCTCATTCCATGCAGGACGCCCCAGGGTCTGGCAGTGATGGCCACGAGTTCTGCATCCTGTTACATGGCGTCCTCAAGCGTAGCGCTTGGACGCAATCGGTAGAGAATAGTCTCACGCAAGACTGTTTTGGCTGACAGGGCGAGTGCTGTGTCGGACACCAGCGATGTGTCGGATATGTGTCGGATGGTCTGCCCATCTCGCTGCCGGGACCTGGGACGGAAGAGGGTGGAGTCGTCCAGTTCCGTTCCGTGGGGGGGGTGCAGCGGCGCGAAGTGGATCGCGCCAGTTCCAGCGGGAGCGGGCCGTGTCCAGGTATATGCGACGAGAACATGTTCTCGCCGCCCAACAGGCACGTCATGCCCGCTGCTGCGGCAGCGATGGTTGCACTTTGTCGTTTCTCTCTGTCTCTCTCTCTCTCTCTTTCTCTTTCTCTTTTCCCACCCGGCAGTCGTTCCAGGAGGGGTCCCTTCGTCGAAGGAGCGAGGGGTTGGCGTCTCGTCCTAGGCCGAAGTTGGCGAAAGGGCCCTTGGAAGCTTGCCGAAGTTGAAGAGTGGCGGCTCGCAGACGCCCCAATTGAAGTCAATGTTGGCGTCCTCAGGGTCTCCAGGGTCGGCCATGCCTTTCTGCGCCTCAGCGCCACCAGCGGCAGCCGCTGTCTGTGGGCGAAGCGCTCCAGGAGGAGCCCTCTCTTCGAATGTTTGCAGTCATATCCAGGACGCCAGCGCCAGGACGTCTGCTGGCACGTGGCAGTGGTTTGCATGATTTTCTTCGGGCCGACGGTTGCGAGTGCGATGTTCAAGCAACCCGAAACCATGGGTGGAGCGGCCACTCAGAAAGCGAAGCCTTGCAAGTAAGACCAAGGCTAGTGCACGAGCAACAAAGGCAAGCGTATCAACGACGAGGCAGATGAGCGCACAGTGCTGCCCGAGCCGAGAAACCTTCTGAGAGGAGGAGAGCATCGCTGCTGGTATGCTACAGTATGTTTTGGGAAGGCTACGTTGCGGAAAAATAGTGCGCTCCCCGACAGCTGGTTGCTAGGAAAAAATAGCGCCATTGTTTTCGTTGCTATGTTCGGCGTCTGGGGACATCTGGGGACCGCTTACGAGCCTAGGGACTGTCAGGCAAACTGCTTGGGATCCAACGCAAGTCCACGGGATGGGGTCGAGAGCTCCAAAGGCTGGTGATCCGAAACTTGCTACAAGTCGTCGGGGGCCTGGGTATGCCAACAAAGTGTAGGTCAGGAGTCAGTTGTTAGGGATTTGCGCACATATGATTCGCACTCGCTCGGTGTCCTCTGCGTGCTTGGGGGCACACTCTGGCATGTCCACAGTCGCAAGTGGGGGCGATGCAGCTGGCCCGTGATTTCAGCGCTGGTCATGAGACATGGATTCTCCCTACCCCCAAGGGGTTTGAGTTTGGGAATAGGTAACACTGAACTCCCGCGGGCGTCAACGGCTGGGCGCGATGGCTCTACCGAGATCTCCTGAAGAGGAAATAACTCGAGGAGAAGGAGGAGGAGGAGGAGGAGGAGGAGGAGGAGGAGGAGGAGGAGTTCTGCGGCCTACGACCCCCCAGCGGGCTCTGGGACGCTCCTGAGCTGTCGCGGGCGCCGCGGCTTCGCCGAGCTCGCTTGAAGCGGCTCGGCAGATTGCTTCGAGGCCACCTCTTGAGGAGGAGGAGGAGGAGGAGGAGGAGGAGGAGGAGGTTGAGGAGGAGGAGCTCTCTTGAAGAGGCCGTCATGGGGCTACGCTTCAGCACTTTGGGATCGCGTGCCGCTCGGCCAGAGCCGGCCCAGAACGCTTCGGCGCGCATCCACGCCCCGGTCCCCAAGCGTCGGCTTCCCGAGCCTTTCCCGGCCTGCCCGCCACGCGGAGCGGAGCGACGCGCTCTCCGCTCGCAGGGCACAGCGTGGCGCCGGGGCCGCCGCAGCAGCAGGGCAAGCAGAAGTTTCCGACCGTGGGTTTTTTGGGGGGAGGGGGGGGGGCTTTTTGGGAGCATTCTCAAACTGAGCACGAAAATCCCTCGGAAAGTATTTTCTGAGTATCTTCTCTGTTATTTGAGATCTACACAACCAGGCCAAGCGACCCTATACAAGGTTTGGCAGAGTTGGCCCGACTTGAGGGGCCTTCTGGCTCCCTGAAGACCGAGCTCAAACTTAGGCGATATGTCGCCGCCTCAAAGGTTCCTTGTCCTTCCGTGGGGCCGATTGGAGGTCAGGTGAGACGACGGTCGGGGCACGCAATCCGCACAGTGTTTGAATTCGGGGGATCGCGGGATCCAGATGAGACGAGGGTCGGAGCCCGCAATCTGCACGGTGTTTGAATTCGGGGGTCGGATTGGGATCGGTTGGGGGTCAGGTGAGACGACGGTCGAGGCGTATTAGGGCCTTCTGAAGCCTTCCTGAAGCCAGCCTGGGCCGAAAAGCATGGGAAGCCTTCCAAAAATGTGCTGGAGAGCTCCTGGTGTGTCTCCTCGGGAGCGTCTCAGTGCCATTTGAGCCTTGATGGGGCTGGCCTTTGCCGTCAGTCCTGTGCACCAGGCCACCCGCGAGGGCGCGAAGATAACCGCTCCTCCGGGGGGCGGCGCGACAGTGCCAAGACAGCCAGCTGAGCGCTTGCGCGGGGCACAGCACGAAGCCGGGCCACCTCCAGTCACGACGCTGAAAGAAGGACCACTTTGGGCTCTGGAGCGGCTCTGGTTTGCAGGCCGCTCCTCAAGTCCAGGCCGGGGAGCCCGTTCGTGACCGGGGCTTGCCGAGGCCGGTAAAGCCCCTCCGGTCGTGTCTCGGCGCTCCTTACAGTAGCACGGCGACTGCACTGGGACGCTGGTGGACACGTCTGGCGCGGCCAGCCGGGGCGAGAGCCGAGAGCCGGATGCTGCGCATGCCGCCGTCCACTTCCTTCGCGTCACAGGGGCTCTACACTGGAGCGGCGACCACGGGCAACACGGGGTCACACAGTCTCGTGGGGTCACGGGGCCAGCACGGGTGACACCAGCCCTGCTGGGCTCCTGAGGGCTCCCCCGAGGGCTCCCGAGAGGGGTCACACAACATGCCCGCCAACACGGGTGTGTGCGTGCGCGACTGCCGCTCACCACCTGCACCTGTCTGCACGGCCGTGGCTGGACCCTTTCATCACGGCGCCTTTGACTAATTTCGTCCCGAATGGGCACTTCCATTAGCCGACCGCGCCTGAGGTTCTCCTGTGCCGCCGACTTGAGAGGTGTGACTGCCGCGAGGTGGCCACGCTACAAAATGGGAGCGGCCACGCGTGTTGGGCCGCACGTCCTCCCGGCGCACGGAGCCCGTCTGTCGCGGACGCGCCAGCCTCCCGCACGCGCACCACAATCCGCACCCGCCTCGGCGGCGCCGTCACGACCGCGGGCGGACGGCGACGCCTGCGCGGCCACCGACGACGGCGGCGGCGGCGACGACGGCGATGGCGACGACGACGCCGACGACGACGACGACGACGACGGCGGCGGCGACGACGACGACGACGGCGGCGGTGGCGACGACGACCACGACGGCGGCGGCGGCGGCGGGGGCGGCTGCGGCGGGCGCGTGGGCGCGCAACGGCGACGACGGCGGCGGCGACAACGACGACCGTGGCGGCGACGTCGGCGACGGCGGCTGCGTCAGTGCGCAAGGGCGGTGACGGCGACGACGGCGCCGGCAACGCTGCGCAACGGCGACCGCGGGCGGCGTCCAGAGCGCGCGCCAGGCTCCGGACGCCTCAGCGCACCCCCGGGAGCAGGCCGCCTTCCGCGGCGGGCACGCCGGCGCGTCTCGGCGGCTGCTGAGCCGGCGCGCGGCGAGCGGCGCACGACGCACGATGCACGGCGCTCGGCGCACGGCGAGCGACGACGGCGGTCACGACGGCTACGAGCTGCGAGCGACAGCGGTGACTGCGACGGCGAGTGGCGAACGGCGACGACGCACGACGGACGACGACCCGAGGCTGAGATGTATTCCTACTTGCCGCCTGGGGAGCCGATCTTCCCCAAGGGGCGGGGGGCCGCCGACCGCCCACAGCGCCGACGTGCAGCCAGAGCGCTGCGATGAGGGCCGCTTTGAGCTCTGGAGGGGCCCCAGTGCCTGGGCCGTTCCTCCGAGGAGGGTGGAGCCCCATCGATGTGGCCGAGGCCCTCCGTGGCCTGCAGGAGCGCGCCTCTCTATTTTCGGCGACAACGGGCACTACAGCGGGGTGGGTGGAGGGGCCAGGGGGGGGGTATAATGTAGCTCCTCCCTCCGCCGTGCGCACGGCGGCAGTGCCCGGAGCGCACTGGGGGGGGGGGAGGGGCGTCACGTTGCAGGGGGGCGGGGGGGCCGGGGGCTGTAATGCCCATGATGCCCCAAACACGCTCCGGAGCCCCCTCATTCCTCCTCACGGTCGGACCGAGGTATAAGATCGAGGTCGGCTCGGGGAGGGTAACCCTAATGTTATTGTGTGTGTTTGTTGGATGTTCTTGCGCATCCTGGGGCAGGGTACCCTCGAGTGATCTGATGGTTTGGGATGTTTGGCCGGCGGAGGGTCTCATGCTCTTGGAGGATGTTTTCCCGTCCCAGATCCGGCCGTATCCAGCGTTCCCTAGGACAGCACGGTGACTGTACTTGGCAGGATCGCCCAGAGCCCCACCGATTTTCTCGCGAGGGGATTTGGGCCTGAGCCCCTGAGGGAAGAGTCATGGCCGAACTTCTCGTGCCTGGGACGAGCCTGTTTCCAGGCCTGCCATTGCAACCGAATTTCTCGCGATGCAGCGTCTCCGCCACAAGACGTACACACAGAGGCCCTCCAACGGATTGCTCGTGGGCCTCAGGGGAGGTTGTCGGTGTATAGATCACCACTGAGAGCCAGCGAAACCCTAGACGCTTCGCGTATCCCCACCAGTCCGTCTGTTTCAGTCTGATGCCTGCGTCCCCGCTCTTGGGTCGCCCGCATCTTAATGGGGGGCATTTTGTCCCTGGCACGTGCACTTGTTGCTTCGGCCTATGCGCCGTCGTAGCCAATTATCTCGCCCTGTGCCCCAACCGAGACCGTCCCGCTTCCTGGATCTGTCCTTGGAGCCGTCAATCAAAAAAGTATCCCGACCAGGCAATCCGAGCGACCCCATGGGGGGCATCCCCATGTATATGTGCCCTATCGACGAAGCTGATGCTACGAAGGACGAACCGATACAGGAGAAGATAACACGCCTGCAAAAGACGCTGGGAGGTGCGTTTAACGGGGTCTGGGTCGCATGGGTGAAGAAAGCGGCCGTGAAGCAGGGGACCATCGGGAATGAAAAGAACGACCCCAAGCTGAACTCCGTGCAGCTGTGCAGCGATTTCATCCAGGCATGGGGCAACGCAGGGTATGACGCATACAAGATGGACAGAGACCTAGGGTTCAACGTCGATTGGCCAAGGGCAACGCGAGCCCAGACCCCACACGCAGCGCGGGACCGACAGCAGCAGCGGCCCCGCCCCATGGACCAAGGAGGGCAAGAGGGCGACAGAGGCGTCCTCGCAGGAGCAATGGACTGGTGCATCCGGCTCCGCCAACCCTTGGCATGGATGGCAGGCATGGGTTTCCTGGAGCCACCAGAGCACACCGTGGACAGATACCGACTGGAAAGCGAAAGGCAAACGCTACTCCCCCAGGGGAGAGGATCCATACACCGACAAGCGCGCACGATGGTGGGATTGACCTGACCAGTGTGCCCAGGGCTTGCAGGGATGGGCCCGCAAAAGAGGTGCCCCCTGCTCCCCCAGCTCGGCGACAGCGACGCCCCCCAGGCGCTCGTCGCCCTCCCTCGCCGAGGACAGTTTCACCACGCAGCGCCCGGCCTTGGCCGCAATACCCTGGGCAGTTCCCGCTGGGGCGGGGGTGGCCCAGCATCTCACCCAAGGCGCTGCATAGCTAGACAGCCCACACTGGATACGTGGACTTCGCCTAGCCACCTCACCCCCCCTGCAGCTGGTGGGAGTGAGCCCGCAGGCCCCAGTGGCCCACGGCCAACAGCCGCCCTCTACGACGGCTGACTGCTCAGTTGGGGACTGGGGACGGACGCAGACGCTTCCCCAGGCTCCACACCCTTTGTTGTCTCTCGACAGCCACCTTGGTCGGCCGGGGGTGGTTGACTGGAATAGTCCTCCCCCTGCGCACCATTCTGCTGGCGGCGGTCCGTGTGCAGCCCACACTACCCCCTAGTCCTCAGCTCTGTGCGAGCTGCCTATATGATACATGTCCTGTTCCGTCGCGGCTGGCGGCTGCACCCTCCCCGATGATGACACCCCAGAGGGGAATCGTGAGGGGTAGTGGATGGGCACCCTAGAGAGGGCCATGAGGTGGTTAATCAGCCCACTGATGCGGATAGCGCTGTCCACCCACCATGGGGACAGGCGCCGGCACCGCCCCTCGCAGTGGCGGGTCTCTCCCCCGAGAGGCCGCCAGATGACAAGGGAAATGGCGACCTCACATATGTGGCCGTGCGGCTGTTGGCCGCACCTCCCTCCTCCTCTGTCAACCAAATGTGAATGCGGCTGTTGGCTGCGCCTCCCCTCCTCCTCCTCCTCCTCCTCCTCCTCCTCCTCCTCCTCCTCCTCCTCCTCCTCCTCCTCCTCCTCCTCCTCCTCCTCCTCCTTCTCCTCACCGACACATGTGTACTTTGCGGCTGTTGGCTGCACCCCCCTCCTTCCCGTGGTCAGATTCAGCCCTTGTTGCGTTCCAGCGCTCCATGAGGTGGTCGCGGCAGCTGCGAATCTCGGCGACTATCGTGGCCGGTACCTGCAAGTGCAATATACCGGCCCTTGGGCCAGCATGTCCTCTCTCATCGTGGCAGCCCCGACCAGTCAATGGCGTCGGACACGATGACGGCACACCAGCCCCCCCCCTGGCAGCAGTGCGGTCCGCGGAGTGAGTGCTCCGTTGGTACTTGCCGTCCCCCGGCTCTCACTGTAGTCAGTTTCGGGTCTGACCCCTGTGCCTATGCGCTGACCGCGGCTGCAGCGTACCTCGTTGCTCCCTGGCCCTTGTTTGGTTTCGGAGACGATGGCTGGCGCACTGGCCCCACCATGGGCAACGGGTGGATCGTGGAGTGAGACCTCTGTAGGTCCCTGCCCTTTTTCTGCCGACCCCGCGCACGGCCGTGGTACCTCGCGCTGAGTGGTGCAGCCTTCAGCGTGTCGCTTCGGTACTACCTGCCTGTTCGGCTAGTTTGGCGGCGCGGACTGGCGCCGACAGGGCGACTCTCCCGCTGCGTATCCCAGCCGACCCCGCGTACGGCGTTGTTAAAACCTCGCACTGAGTGGTTCTGCCTTCAGCGTGTCGCTTCGTCCCCACCTGGTGGCCGGTATCTGGTTTCGGTGCGATTGCTGACGCACCGGCCCTACCATGGGCAGCGGCGTTGGCGCGCGGAGGAGGAGGAGGAGGAGGAGGAGGAGGAGGAGGAAGGAGGAGGAGGAGGAGGAGGAGGAGAAGAAGAAGAAGAAGCGTTCAAGGTTGAATTACGACTGCACGTAAGAGTGACCCTTCGCCGGATGGTGCGGCCTCACTGGGGTCCCCCCGATCGCCGAGCGCGATGCGATCATGGCTGCTTGCGCGCTTGGACGTGGCCATTGCGCCCCCTCGACCCGCGCACCAGAGGTCGTACTTGCCTCGGGTCACTCTTGCGCGTGGCCGAGTCGATTTCTGCGGCGCAGAAGCACCGAGGGACACGGTGACGCCACTGGGCCTGACGGGATTCAGCCTTGAATGCTCGGGGCCGCGATTCGGGGTCGAACGATCGACGCGGTGTCAAAGTCCTCTGCGCGCGCCGACGCCGCACGAACCTACTCGCAGCCGCGGGGGCCGACGCGACGAACAGACTGCAGCGGAGGGGTCCGCGCAAGGCGGGAGGCAAGGCCTGAATTCAGAGAGAACAAGGCACCCATTTCGCTGCCCTTGCCTCGACGACGACGACGACGACGACAACGACGACGACGACGACGACGACGACGACGATTCAGAGGAGGACAGGGTACACATACTGCTACCCTTGCCTCGTTTTGTTCGCCTTTGGGGGGCCTCCTGGAAGGCCCTCGTCGCCACGGCTGGACTCGCCCCGGAATCCTGGTCAGAACGCGCCCCCGGAGAGGTGCCCGAAAATTTCGGGGTTCCCCACGGGCAGCGGTGTATGACTGGTGCCCTCCTCGAAGATGGCTGGTTCCCGCGCGCGCGCCAGAGCCAAATTCGCGGCCTCGGCCGCGGCGCTTTCGCTGCCAGGGGGCCCAGCCCTAGGCTCCTGACGTGCGCGGCCCAAGTGCCGCCCGCGTGAACGGCGCGCTGTGGGCACCCTTCCAGAACGGAAGCGTAATTACTTAGGGAGCACGTCCGAGAGCGCCCCTTCGACCCGGGGGCAGATCTGCAAAGGAAGCGTAACCGCTTAGACATCTTGGATCAGGGACAGCGCTGGGTGGATGATAGGCTCAGGGGGTGATGCATCGACGACGCCCATCGCCCACCGATCGCCGACGGGGGTCCCGATGGGCGCCCAGAAACGTGGGGATTTGCTATCGAGGGCCTGTCGCCGATCTATCGGCGACGCATCCCCGATTCCAACTCTGATAGCAAGAACTCCTGTCGTGAGACGCAAAGAAACGAGATCGTCTGCGCCGACGTTCGCGTGCAAGCTGCCCGCGTAAGGTCGCGCGTAAGCGCCCTCTTCTCCAATGTGGCGTGCCGCGCCGGCGGCCCGCGTAAGCCGCCGCGTAAGGTTGCTACGTCATCTCGCGCAAGACCCGTTTTTCATCATCGCTCACCTGGCGTATCCGAACCCCGTGC